GCATGTAGTGATTTTTATTAAGAATGGAATATAAAGAAAGTTCAACATTGAAATATGCAGTGAATCAACTACACATTGATATCTTAGTTATCAGTGAATTGAGATGGACTGGAATTGAACATATTCAGTCAGGTGATCATACTATTTGCTACTTTGTATACAGTACTTGGCTACAATACAATAATGTCAGTTGGGCTTTATGGACAATTCTTTAATTAATATAACAATTATCCAAGTTTATGCTGCAACTACTGATGCAGAATAAAAGAGGGTTGGTGACTTTGATATCCAGTTCAATTTAAAATTGAACATGCAAACAAGATGTGCTGTTTATTGCTGGAACCTGGAATGCTACAGAATTGAAATAATAAGCTGGAAATGTACTTGAACTGTATAACCTAGGACAGGCTGAGGAATTCTGGGAGTTGAAGTCCACAAGTCTTAAAAGTTGCCAAGTTTGGAAACTCATAGCCTAGGAAACCGAAATGCAGCAGAGAACAACAGAGAATCAGCAGAAGATTCATGGCGCATAAATTAAAGAGACTAGACTACCATGAATTTATAATTTCTAGATTCCTATATTGTCTAGCTTTCACTGGGACTTCAACAATTAGTGTACAATCAAAACTGAGCAATTCTGATGTAATTCATGTTGACTTGATTCATTCATGTTGACTTGAATCATGACTTGATTCATTTGTTTTGAGAAAATGGCATTACTATTTATTTATACTAAAAGTTCAGACACTGACTTCAAACCTTGGCATGTCTTGGGTTCTGATTATCTTAGTAAACACTATTAAGAAGATGTTTCATGGCCTTAGACTAATGTTTTAAATATCCTTATATAAAAATATGCTCCGCTGTAAGACTTGCATCTGAGCAAATATATACAAAGTTTGGTCTTCCGATATTGTTTGATGGGAAAAGGTCAAATAAACATTTCTGGAACAAAGAAATAATGACTGTTCTTTAACAAATACAGTAAAAACTAATAGTCTTTAGTGAGTAAGTCACATTAAGTGTAAGTTAAATTAAACAAATAAAACAAATACAAGAGCTGGGCACCAAAATGTATCTGTTGCTAGCTTTAAAACTGAAGTAAGATCTTCATTTCCTTATTGCATCAGCAGTCTTGCTTAAGTGTAGTGCCAGATTAAAAAAAAAACAATTACTTGAAAAAATAACATTCACGTTAATAAAAGTCTCCCATCAATATAGAAAATATAGATTATTGAATTAATTGATAGTGTTGATGTTAAAAATGTATATTAATATATCACATATACTTTCTTACTTACAAAGTAGAGTGTTTGTTTTACAAGCCATTATAGTATGGTATTGCCTGGGTGATGAAAAATTCCAGAAGAAATATATTTTCACCAAATATATTTTCACCAAAAGAACAACACAAAGCTTTAGTATCATGAATATACATGTAAAGAAGACACCTGTTAAAATTGTTTTTCCCATTTGAAGTCTCAAGCTTTAAAGAAAATAGTTAATAGAATATTGCCCTCTATTGACCAATGTGAAGATTGAAATAACAACAGTGGTTCTGAAGGATTAGTATTCTGAGGCTTAACTCAAATAATCAATCTTATTGAGAATATTCTCTCCCCAGATTTTCTGATAGAAAGGTTTTCTTCTCCTCTATCCAAAATTCTTCTTTAGAGATGCCATAAATTAAAGCTGAATGCAAAATGTTCTGTTTTTTTTCTACATTACCATTTTCCACATTATTGTACAGATTGCTCTTCCACATTACCCTGCATTTTGTATGAAGCTGCAATTTGAAACGAAAACATATATTCATCCTTTAGGCAAGGCTTGTTCATTTTAATCTAAAACAATCTTATTTCCATCTCACAGAAATTCCAATGTATAAATACACTACTACCTGTCTTTGTCAATATATCATGTATGTATATGTGTGTGTGTTTATTCTACTAATATATATATTAGTAGAATATAGGCAAATGTATGTTGGCTTGCATGACAGCCTTTAGACTAGAGGTCCTAGTTTGCAAAAAGAAAAGTCCTTTGAAGTTTCATGTTTATTTTACCACAGTTCCATCTGGAGGAATAAAACACCTGTGGCACCAAAATTCCTAAGGACACCCAAATTATCATCCAAAGTATTGATGATTGTTTGGGCTGTCATAGGAATGGTAGGATGAAGATATAAATTATATCATGAATTGGGATACACTGTTACAGTTGCTAGATCAGTGGACAGCATTGGGAAACGAGCAGTTGGTATTAATGAAATAAGGAAGAGATGGCTTATTTGATCTTTGCGGATTGCTATGGGGCAACTGACCTGAAGATTTTAAAAAGAGATGGGGAAAAATATTGGAAAGTGATTTCTTAGACCAGGGGTGTCAAAATCACAATGTCACATGATATGTCACGATTTATCGCGACTTTTCCCCCATTGCCAGCAATGGGGTGGGCGCAGTTTCAGCGTGACACATCTGGCCCATGGGCCGGCAGTTTGACACCCCTGTCTTAGACTGATCCTCACGTAGGCAAATGCTGAAGGAGCATGTGGTCATGGATGGTGGAAGAGAGCCAACCCAAAGCACAGCACAAATGAAGATCCTAGCTAACTGCTACACAGGTTGCATCATATCCAGCAACTGGTCCAACATACTACATGGTGATCTTATTTATTTATTAGCATTTTTAAAATTCCACCTATATAAGTTTATAAGTAAGCCAGAACTTGCTTCAGCAGAAGATGTGGTAAGTAGAAGTGAAAATGCTGGCAGAGGAACAAATCTGATGATGTTGTTTAGTTTGGTAATGGAATATTTTGCAAGAAAACAACCAACCTCAGAGAGCACTTTTGTTGTTGTTAGTTGTGAAGTCGTGTCCGACCCATCGCGACCCCATGGACGACGTTCCTCTAGGCCTTCCTGTCCTCTACCATCTTCTGGAGTCCATTTAAGCTCATGCCTATTGCTTCAGTGACTCCATCCAGCCACCTCATTCTCTGTCATCCCATTCTTCTATTGCCCTCAATCTTTCTCGGCATTAGGCTCTTCTCCAGTGAGTCCTTCCTTCTCATTAGGTGGCCAACGTATTTGAGTTTCAACTTCAGGATCTGACCTTCTAAAGAGCAGTCAGGGTTGATCTCCTCTATTTCAACCTTCAGCTACAAATTCAGGTCCCTCAGTTACAGGCCGACCTCAGGGCGTGAGGTGGATGGGGACCTGCATCCATATTGTATGGAAGCAGATGCTAAGATGGGATGGCTGGGAGAATGTGCCCATACTGAGCATCTTTTACAAATAGCAATGATGCCATCCTTTCAGATTATTTACTGAAAAATACTCTGGAATAATTCGTATGGGGTCTAACACAGATTTAATTGTCCAGGACAATCTGTAAGTTTGAAACAGACAGGAGAAGACATCACTTTCTGTGTGTGTGTGCGCACGCACACACACACAGAGACACAATCAGATTTCAGCTTTAATTAAACTATTTACAAACTTCTGTGCTAAAAATAGGTATCATTATTTGAAGAAAATCGCAACAGACTGTATTATTCGCTGCTTAATCTACACTGTATATTTGATAGTTTTGCTGCTTACAGGTGCGATATTATATGCCTGATTCCTATTTGCAAAAGAAAAAAGAAAAAAAAAGCTTGTTCGGTCCTTGGTTTTAAAATGGTCTGGTCTGTAAAAATAAATCCAGAACTATGGACTGCGATCGGGGTCTTTGGTCCCGGCCACTCTCGCGTTTGTTGGGCGACTGGGATAAAGGACTCGAAGCAAGGCGAGGCGAGCCTCCCCGGCGATTAGCAATTCGCAAATTTGTTTCCAGCGCCTCTTCGGAAAGGAACACGCCATATCCGGGGAAAGAGGGGGGGGGAACAAGTGTGAGGTAAGGACGCAGCATGGTTGATTTGGACGCAGAAAGGGGCGAAACTTTTAGAGGCCGCTGCTTCAGCGTCGAGAGGAGGTGAAGCGCGTCCCCGGGATTTTTTTGTCCCTAACTTTCTGTGGTTTATAAAATCCTCCGTAGTCTCTTGCCGAGTGAAGAAGCAAGAATTAACGGGAGGAAAAATGGCCTCCTTGGGAAATGGATTTTTTTTTTTCTATTAAAGAAAATCAGCCTTTACCTCTGTAGGAGGACGGGAGAAAGAAGAAAGTGGGAAAGGATTTGCAAAGTTAGCAATAGAAAGGACAGCTCCCTTTAGTAGAGGACAATGTGGGTTTGATCCAGGAAGTTCTTGCTAAGATTTGCTTGGCTTTCACTCCTCCGCCTTGGACAATAACTGTTTTGACTGTGCGTGGAATGAATTTTACTCCTCTTTGCATGATTACAGCAGTTCCCTAAGGTTTTTTTTTTATTATTATCACAGAGCAGTTTGCTGAGTGGTGAAAATATTAAGTCTTTTAAAGAGACGAATGAGCAAAAGAAACACAGGTGGATATCTAGCCCTGCCACTAAAAACAATGACAAATGGGCATAAATACAAACAGATATTCTGAAGACAGGACTTTGGACTTGCAAAGTGTGTTTACAGGTTCTGGAGCCCCTGAGCTCAGTGTAGAAAGAATATCTTTACTATATTGGGAAAATACTATATTGTACACCATAACAGATCCTTCCCCCCCCCTTTTATTCTTCAAAATCAAGGCCTAACTGAACTATTCCTGAATTAATCACAATATCCCTCTATTTAAGGGATCTATTGATTTTGCCCTTAGCACTAAGCTCCTTCCTGATCTGAATATTCAGTCCTCCTCCTGTTCTGTTTCTTGAATAATAAGACTTGGTAGAAAGTGAGAAAGATATGAAGCAGCTCGGTCTGCTTTTGGAATAAATGAGAAGTGAAATAAATGGTATTGCATAACTTTATAGGTTGTGAACAGGCTCCTTAAGATTACATTTCAGGAAACCTTCACACTGCAAGAATCATTTAGGTAAGACAGATGTGGAAATGTGATAAACAACAAATTAAAAAAATAAGATGACTTGTAACTAATATTTCACAATATATCTGTGGGGTTCCAACCCTTGGGTTCCCTGGCACTAAATATATATTCATAAACCTGTCATTCTGACAGATGACTATTTTCTTATAGGTAGGGTTATGAGTTTTATGAGATTACCCATCCTCCCAAAATCTTCACTCCTGATTCTTTCCCACAAAATAATAACTGGGAGGATATGCTTTGGCTGACAGTTCTAGTACCCAATCCACAGAGATACCCAGCTTTATATTTGATTTCCTTTTTGTTATAAATCTAGTTATTGAGCTCAGCATAGTTCTATGTCTTGTCAAAATAGCAAAGCATTTTTCTAGGTTTATTCTTATACAATCCCTACCAACTTAGATTTGCAACGAAAATAAGCATTACAGGATATAAGGGTCAGTAGAGTTCCTGAACTTTGAAAAAAAGGAGCCTATCTTCTATATTTAGCATAAAAATAACTTCAGGAAGCTGTTTGTAAATGCTGCCCAAACTGTACCTACTATTAACAGGGCATGCTGTATTTAGAAGGGGAGAAATTAAGGCTGAATATGTAGTCAGGAGAATCATAAAAATAAATTGAATGTGGTGGAAATGAGTTACTTAAGAAATACATGTGACAAAGCAAGAAAATATAAGGTGATAAAAGAATGAGTGATGAAGGGAGGAAAGAAGACTGAATAGTGGGTTTACCAACATTAAACGTGTGCTAAGGTTTGGCCACATATAAAAAAATGAATAGCAAAAAAACAATAATACATGAACTAAATTGGTTGAGAGAAAGTGGAAAACTGAGAAAATCATAGTAGGAGACAGTTGAGAAATCCTGAAAGAAACAAAGAGTGTGAACAATTGAAACAGGTATAATGAATGAAGATGTAAACTAAATTTATATATTGTTTCCTTATGACTTGCTTGACATAATATTTATTGCTTTTTGTATTTTGCATAAAGTTGCTTAGCTTGAAAGAGAATAACATGAGTATACTATTATTTTAAGATAGACATCAGGACTCCCTTTTTAGCTTTTAGGAAAACCCATAGTCTCAATACTTAGAGTCACCCCAATACTTTCTTGGAACTCTTTTTCTATAGATCTTTCTTCTGAGGAAATTAAGCTAAGTTATTTCAAACTTTTGATTTGCTGCTTTCCCCCCTCTATATTAAGTCAGTCCTGAATTGCAGAGATTTGTTTGGATAGAAGTGACATAATTATTTCCAAATAAATTTTGATAAGTTTTTTTTTTCTTTAAATGATGCCTTGTTCTTCCCTGATTTGCACCCAGAATAATCTGAAAACCTCACTTGGTAAGACTAACCTTTATTTCATTCTTGTGCTTTGGGCGAAATGTAAAATGAGAAAGGGCAATCAATACAAACATTTTTTTTCCTGTAATTAATTCCATATCAGATTTCCACTTTTTTATGAGTGACCACTTAATTAATCTCTCTACTATTTGTTGTATAACTATATATCTATTGAAACAAACAGTAATATTTTGCTCTCATCCATGGCTCTTTAGCATTCTGTCATATAGCCATCCATAAATCCAAAAAGGCACTCTATTCTGGTTAGCTGAAAATAAGAGATAGCTTACCCATAGAAATTTTTTTCTCCTTGAAGATCGGAGGGATAGTTGCTGAGTTAGCAGAGTTAGAGTCTTTAAAAAGGGAAGAAAGAATTTTAGAAAAAGATGAAGGGGTGGTGTAGCATCTCACAAAGGATGTAGACAATACTGCCTGTGGATTTTTTCCCTACTGTAAAGATAGCTAGTAATCCTGAGATAGGTTGGGAATGTTACATTTCTGAATTGTTAGCTCAAGGAGAATGTGAAATTTCCTGAAGTGAAGCTTGGACAATTTGGAGAAAAGTGCTGAAGCAAAGGAGGAGCAAATCAACGCAGGCAGATGGTCTCCACTGAGGTCAAGATCTATCAGCTAGAGCAGGGGTGTCAAACTTGCAATGTCACATGACATGTCGCGATGTGTGGTTTCACTATGATGCATCCGGCCCGTGGGCCAGCAGTTTGACACCCCTGAGCTAGAGATTTAAGTGATTGTTAGCCTGATAGAGAATGTTGGTTAATATAATTAGTTCATGTGTTTTCCTCTACATTTATAAGGAAGGCAATAGAAGATTTTGGGCTTATCTGGTTGTATAGAGCTCTTGCTCAAATAGAAAACATAAAACTCTTTTTTTATTATTGTATTAACAAAATAGAAAAAAAAACCAAATTGTGCCAGGTATGTTATGTCCAGTATCAGCCCCTGTGAACTCATCAGAAGTGTTGGGTTAAAAAAGTCAAGAGACAGCTCCAATTGAGCAACTTTTGTATATGTATTTGTATATGTATACCCTTTTGTATATGTATTTTATCACTTGCATATCCAATGGGGCAGGTTTGACTGTATGATTGTCGGTGGCTTGATGATTTTTTTTAACTCCTTGGTTACTGCTGCAACCCACAAAGACCTGTGACACAGTGGACGTTTGCATCTGCAGAATTGTCTATCACGAGCCTAAAATACATTCAGCTCCTTGATTGTTGTAATTGCCCTTTTCTGTGCCTTCCTCAATTCAGCTCTCTTCTCTCTTTCCTTGGAGAGCAAAGATGACTTTGGATCCATTACCAGAGCTCAACAATTCAGATCTTATCAAGCTTATACCTGGATCAGAAAATTTAATGCAATGTGCTCTATTCCCTTTTAAGAAATTGTGACTATCAATGGATGAAGCCTGTCTGCAAATTGTGATAAACTTTCCAGTAGAGTTAATTCTGATCCTATTGCTTTTTTCTAAATATATTTTCTATTTTTTGCACTTGCAGTCTGATCTAATAAGTGCAGCAAGTGGGTTTATCCCTCTTAATTTCCTCATATTTCTTGATTTCTTATTTCCCATTTGTTGGTTGATTACCAAAATGTATTATATAAATTTATCTTTGTGTGTTCATTTTAAAATATTTTAAAATATAATACAATTTTTGCCTCTTTGGTTCTATTGTATCTCTCTGTTATTTTACATTCTTAAAACTTATTGTTACACAGGAATGTTCTTAGCTCATCAGTACTTCAAGTGTCTTGGCATTAGAACAACTCTACTGAAGATTAATTACTCTTTGAGAGGCTTCAGATTTTCAGCTTGCTCAGTATGTATTCCGTCTCTTCATAGATTTCATAATTACACACACTTTTGTTACTTTGTTACTTTTGCTACTGAATCACTAATGGCACTTATCTGGCACAGCATAACTTGAATTTCTTCAAAAAAAATTCCTTACTTACAAATACTGCCAATATAAGAAACATAATAACTTTAGTTTCTCGTCTCATTTGTAGAAGGTGCAAAGAGATGGAGGCTGTACTGTAGAATCTTTAAAAAAAACCATGGGAAAACTGAACTAAAATGAAAAAAATACCTTAAATTTGGTCTTTCTGATCTTTTAAACAGGAACAGAAGGCAGCTTCTTTTAGAATTAACAACAAAAGAGAGAGAAAAAAGTAGGGGAGGACAAAGCATTTGACTGAGAAGAAACTTTTTCTACATTTTTCTTTAACTTCTCTGAGGCTCTATTTAGATGTGCAGTTGAGGTTCCCACAGGTCTCTCTTTAAATGCAAAACAGTATTTATTAGACTAGTGATTGATATTGCTGGCTATTCATGCAAGGATCTTCTCAACCAGTCCATGAGCAATCAAAGAAGGTACAGCTGGCATAGAAGTTCTGTGTGGATATCTCTGATGCAATTACTGTACTCTGAAACCTTTAAAACAATTGAGCTCGGTGTGTATGTTTGTCTTGTCACTTTTATGTTGGAATCTAAGATTTTAGTGCTGCTCTGTCTAGTAAACTCTATGCAATTCTCTTAAGATATCATTCTCTACATTTGGCATTCTGGTTACATAGTTTGTTTTGATATTTTTTTGTTGAGGAACTGTTAAAATGATTAGTATTAATATCTTGATATTATAATAAAAGGTTTTGATGCTTTTGCTTGATTTATATATTTTTTATAATAGTTGATGCAAAAATTCTTAATAATATTTAAAAGATTGAGAAAGAAAGAGCTAGAATAAACATTTTTTTTTCATATATTCTCTCAATTATTCAGGATTCGTTGGTTTCAGGTTGGCTTGTATGACCAATGGAGTTCTATACTTAGATTAGACTTAATAAAAGAGAAAAGTGAGAAATATAAAAAATAAAGGCAATATATTAATTGGTGTATCGATGTGCTGGAAGAAAGGATAGTTTATAAGTAGTCCTCATTTAGTGACTGCCTTGTTTAGTGACTGCTGGCAGTTATGATGGAAGCTAGTGTGATGGAAAAGTAACTTTATGATCAATCCTCACATTTATGACCATTGCAGTCTGTAAAGCAAAGAAAAGCTGAAAAAAGATCATAAGCACAATTATGGGTTCACTTAGCGACTGTTTTGCTTAATGATTTGAGTTTTGAGTTGCTGGTTCCAGTTGTGGTTACTACATGAGGACTACCTGTTTATCATTTTCATTTCCTAATAAATCTCAAAATAACAGCATTTTGGCACTTCATTTTTATCCCAAAATATTTTATGATTTATATGTTAAATTTTGTTCCACTCTGCTGGAACCGCTTTGTTTAGTCATTCACCCTTTCTCAAATGATTTTTAAAATTTTCCTTCAGAGTCACTTATATGTTTGTTCTTTCTCTTTTAAACTTATATGTTCCTTGTTTTCTTTTACTATTTTCTCTGTAATTTTTTATCTAGAGATATATTTACGATAGTGTATTTTTTCATCCTTTTTTTTTATAGCAATCTGTACATGCATTTATTCTGACCCGCAACTTCTTTCTCTTCAGCATCCAGCAAACGTTCTTTCTCATACTTCTTCCAAGTAACTCTACACTGTTTGAAGCAGTTTCCGCATTCTTTTTCCTTACATCCCATTTTCCATTCATTTGGTTCTAGTACTTTTTCATACAGGATGTGCCTATTTTCATTCTTGTTTGCTTCTTCAGTGTTAAATGAAATTAGTTGTAGTTTATGCTGTTTCGTCGGTGGAGATCAGAGTTAGAGGGAAATACAAAAGGAGAGGTGGCACACATTAACATACCATCTAATAATATGCTATTTTTGGTTCTAACAAAAGTCCTTTTTATCCCTTTGATTTTTTTTTTTTTTTTTGCTGCTAGGCCATGAACTTCAAGCACAAAAATGCTAAACGAATTGAAGGGCTTGATAACAATGTGTGGTAAGTAATAATGGATGAAAGCATTAATTTAATCAATAATCAAACCACAGAACATTCTAAAGAGAATGCCTGTAGGGTAATTAGTTTTTCATCTGCATTTGTGTCTTCAAGATCACTTTGATTGCAGAAATCAGTATACTATGGTTTATGTCATAAGGAGATAAATTTCTAAATAATAATTGAACAGCATGCTGCTGTTAAGGGTGCAGCTACAGAAGTCAACTGAAAGTTGGCAGTTTTCATCTCACAACTTTTTTTTTTTTCATCCTTTACATCGGGCATGTCAAACTGCCGGCCCGCGGGCCGAATGCGTCATATCAAAACCACGCCCACCCCATTCCCGACAGTGGGGGAAAAGTCCCAATACGTTGTGTGACATCCCGTGACATTGCGAGTTTGACATGCCTGCTTTACGTTCCCAGGAGTTGGCATGTTTCCTGATTTTATCTTTATTGAATTCTATTCATATACTTGCATTAAATAATACCAGAAATTAAACAAAAAAATTACTAGAGATGTGTAAAGATTAATTTAGTGTACAATTAGAGTAAGAATAAATATGTAGCCAAGATATTGAATAAGAATTCTATCTGTTAGCCATATATTTAATTATTCAATTGAAGAAGGATGTTAGGAATAAATATATAGGTAAGGGATTGAATAAGCCATGAATTTTCAATTTTTTGCAGCTACAGAACCCATTAATGAAACAAGAAACAAACAAATAAATAAATACCCTTTGTTTCAACTTTACTGTTTAAAAACTACCCAAAGCAAGATTATTCCAATAGGTATTTAGAAAGATTTTTTAATACATGTTTTCAGCTTTGGAATTCAGTATTCCAAGATGTGCTCGCTACCAGCTTGCCTGATTTCAAAAAAAGATTGGACCAATTCATGGTTGTCATGGGGATCAATGGCTGTTAGTCTTGATGGCAGTGGGGATTACCTCTGAAGTAATCTGAGGGGAGAATAGTGGCCTTTCTGGTGCAGTTGGTTGGCCACTATGAAGCTTAATTTGCTCTAGTCTAGTTTAAAAGGATGCTGTGAATTCGAAACAGATTCTTAAACCTTATGGGAGGTATTCTGGTGCTTTTCTGGTCATTTCAGAAATGTCCCAAGTTCGAAATTGATTTTTTGAGGGAGGAAAGCAGTTTTGAGCACAAAATGTTTCCAGAATCGTCAGAACAGCATTGGATTCACTTCCAGTAAGGTTAGAATAGTTGTTTCGGACTGTTTCTGACTATCAACACAAAATATTTGAATTTGAAAAAAAATGCACATTGTTGCTATTTTTGTGTTATGATTTCCACAGAAGTGGAGCTAATCATTTTGGGGATTTAATAGGATTGTAATAATTTCTATGTTCCATAGGGTGGAATTTACAAAACTTGCTGCAGATCCCACTATTGTTAATCTTGGACAAGGACTTCCAGATATATCTCCTCCTAACTATGTAAAAGAAGAATTAGCAAAAGCATCATCGGTGGATAGGCTCAACCAGTATACCCGGGGTTTTGTGAGTACATTACATGCCGGACTTTCTCTAAACACAGTACTTTAGATCAGACGTGTCAAACTCGTGACGTCACATCGCGAGATGTATTGGGACTTTTTTGTCATCGCCCACAATGGGGTGGGCGCAGCTTCCAGATGACTTGTCCGCCCTGCGGGCTGGCAGTTTGACATCCCTGCTTTAGATGAATTGCATAACCTGAATGTTTCTCAGCTGGTTTGTTTCTCCTTCCCAGTTTTGGATTTTTATTTTGAATAGAAATACAAGGTTCTGTTCTGTGGTTGGTCTTCATCATCTAAATGAGAGTTATGTGTAACTGCAGTTAATTCCCATTTCATCCATCCACACAACATATTTAATACATTAAACTAAATTAGTGTGGATTTCCTAGAATTTCCCAGACAACACTGAAATATTTGAAATATGAATTTCTGTTCAAACCTTAGTCTGTTTATTTCTCTGTTTGATGATGATCAATAGGAATATTTCCCAGACTGTGCTGTAAAAGATGCAGGTATACTTAATTTACTCTTGCCTACTAATTACAGATGAATGGGCTAATCAGTTATAGCATGCAAGTGTACAATCTAAAAAGAGTTTTCTTTCTCTCCTAAAATCTTGATAATTTATAAAGAAGTTTCTTAACTTACATAGTCTCCTTAAAAAAAATATGAAACTAACAGATGATGTAACATAATCAATTAAAGGCTCTCTTTATATGATGCAATTAGTTATGGTTAACTTCACCATTGTTTATTCAATTGACCCATCTTTTGGGGCTTACATAAAATGCTGAACCGTAAACAATACCCACACAGTCTGCTTTTCTCAACTCCTTTGCAGTACTCAGAATATGTGTGTAATTAGTAAGAGTGTTTATATAAGTAGAGTAATAGTTTTGGTGGAATTGATCTTGGTATGTTTTCTTAAGTTATTTCATCTAATTTAACATTTTCCCATCTTTTACAAAAATATATACAAAAATATATTCTGATATTTAGAGCTATTAAGGCCCCAATACAAGTATTAAGTCATAATATTCTAAGGCAGAGATTGAGAGTAGCGTGGTGACCTATTGGTGAAGATGTTTGCCTCCCATTCGGAAGGTTAAGAATTTCCAGGTAGCGGTATATATTTTTGTCTCCTAGGATGAAAAAAAAAAAAATTGCTGTGAACTCCACATAGGCATCAGGAAGGGCATCCGGCCAGTAAACACTCAGCTCCATCCATTCACCCCAACTCTACCCCGAATAGGGACTACAGGGTTGTAAAAAGGAAGTTATTCTAAGGCAGAAGTTTCCAAATTTTCTTGATTCGCAGCACCCTGAGTGTTTCAGTAATTTCTTTGTGGTATCCCTCAGCCAAAATACGGCTAAAACTCCAGTTTTGCAAATGGACATAGCAAAAAAATTTAAATATCCCATAACACACCTGTTGGTTTGTAGTATCCTAGGGCGGAGTACACAGTTTGGAAACTTTGGCTGTAAGGATTTATGATCTATCTACTTGTGTTTTGAACAAATGCATGCATTACTCATACATAGCTGGTATTTGTCTGTGTTCCTATTAATTATTTTCCTCTCTTTAAAAAAAATGTACTCAGGGTCATCCACCTTTGGTGAAAGTCCTGTCTCAAGTGTATGAAAAAGTTTGTAGAAAAGAAATTGATCCATACACTGACATTCTGGTGACAGTAGGGGCATATGGATCCCTGTTTAGTGCAATGCAGGCACTTATTGAAGCAAAAGATGAAGTAAGTCTTTGTAACAATTCCTGTTATAAAATAACTGGTTTGTACATTTTCTGTTTTATTAAAAACCAGCATTGAAATTAAATGCAATTTCTCAAACCATTCCTTATTTTTTTTAAATAAATATTTTTATCCTGCCTTTGTTATTTTATAAGTAATCCAGGGCAATAAGTCTATATAATACCTCTTCCTCCTTTTATTTTCCCCAAAATAAGATGGGTTGGGTTGAGAGAGTGTGACTGCTCCACAATTACCCAGCTAGCTATCATGCCTAAGGCGGGACTACCTTAACCACTACTTCAAACTGGCTCTTTTGATGCATAGAAATCTGGTTTGGGTTAAAGAGGATTTCCCTTTCTGTCACTCCCCCGCCTGTTTTTTTTTTTAAATGGTTCTGTACCTGTAGCTTTATCTGCAGGCTGACACATACAGGTAGCTGTTTCACAACCAGCTAATATCTTGGCCTTAGGATAATGCTTTTTGCTTTCAAAAATATAACATGAAAGACAGTTAAAAGCAGATTCTAATAAGGCAACATTCTATCATGGAGTTTCTAGCAATCTACAGTAGTTTTAAACCCAGGGTAAATTTTATTTCACAATATTTAAAAACTGGATGCTGATTTCTCTAAATTTGAGACGATTTCAGCTTTTTATTGTCTTTTGCTTGTAATGATATGAGACCATCAATAATGGCAATTTCTTTCGGTTCTTGTAAAATTAGGGATAGATTCAAAATTAGCATATGTGCCAGTAAGTAATTTCATGCATTCATTCAGGGGAACTCTGACAATGAAATCATGGCTTTTTATACGCATGCCATATTCTCTCATATACATATTCTCTCTACACTATTCAGTCCTGTTCTCTCTATTAGATACACGTAGTCCTCGACTTGCAACTATTCATTTTAACAACTATTCAAAGTTACAGTGGCACTAAAAAAAAGTGACCTACCACTATTCCATGCCCATAACGACCACTGCGGTATCCCCGTAGTCATATGATCAAAATTTAAACCCTTGACAACCAGCATGTATTTACAACAGTTGCTGCATTCCTAGGTCATGAATCACCATTTGCGGCCTTCCCAGTTGGCTTCTGACAACCAAAGTCAGTGGGGAGGTCAGATTCCCTTAATGACCTCATCATTCACTTAAGAACTGCAGTGATTTTCTTAACAATGGTGGCAAAAAGGTAGTAAAATCAGGTATGACTCAGTTATGATTATAGGTCGTGGACTACCTGTGTCTCCAATTCCTTCACGTTGTCTCCAGCACGCACAATGCAGACATTACCTCTTAATCTGTTACTTTTTATTTCCTTCCATACTTCTCATTCTGTAAGAGAAGGAATGGTGGAACCTAGGGGCAGGGTGAAAAGAGGAATCAGCTTGGAATCCCTACATAGTCACCAGCTAAGTCCAACCCCCCTTGAGTGCTGTTGACCCTTATCTAACTAGATGCTAGCGGTTGATTAAGAAGATTCCTTTTGCATAAGGTTTTAGGATTAAATCAGGTTAATTGAATCTTCATGTGGTAGATCTGGTCTTTCACGCCTAAACACATTAATTCTAAATTTGCAATAGCTATGGTATTTTACAAAAAGAGACTGAGGAAAAAATCTGTTATCTGAGATAGCATCCCTCTTTGCTGCCCCCAAAAGACTTTGCTTTAATGCAGGAAATGTTTACAAATGTGTAAAATTACCATTAAATCAGACTAAATTCTGCTTCTGACATTAGAAGAAAGGTAGCTCACTTTTTAATTTCTGATTCACGTAGCTTACCTTTGTTTTAGGTAATAATAATTGAACCCTTCTATGACTGTTATGAGCCCATGGTGAGGATGGCAGGAGCCACACCTGTTTTTATACCTTTGAGAAATGTGAGTACTGTGGTTTGGGTGACAAGAAAAGAAAAGTGGGAAGAAAGCTTCTGAATTGGTCTTTAAAGCTTTGTGGGAAGAAAAGAAGGGAAGGATGAATATCCAGAGTTTTCCTAATTCTTTCCTACATTTGAATGTCTGGTCTGATAGCAATTACCGTTCATATTTCTTTACCTAAAACATAAGAAATTAAGAAAATATTTGCTTCAGAATTAATTAAAAAGAAATAGTGGTATTGTTATATCCTTTTCTTAATTCTGTACCCCATCTCATTTTAATATTGCTGGTTTCTCTCATCCATCTGTCCATATAGAGATATATACTAAAATGTAAGAATATACAACTTTGTGTAATAGTAGTAAATCTTCTTATCACTGTGAAAGTTTTGCGTGCCGATTGCTATATGTGTGCAGTGACCATATATCCTTTATTATAAAAGACAATCCTTTATTTCAGAAAGCTGATCTTTAGATTTATTTATTTATTTTCCTGGTTTTGCTCTTGAGTTTTCCAAAGTAAAGTAAAGTAAAGTAAAGTAAAGGTATAGTAGAGTACAGTTTATTAACTGAATCCTACGACCATATCAAATCAAGTAAAAATAAGATACATGATCTTGTTCTGAGATAAAATAGATAAAGGAAAATACAGAGATAAAATACATGTGTGGTAATACAAGGAGTCAGCAATCAGATAAATGCATCACCAGTTTCTTCAGTGTATTGGGATCTTGGCTCTGCCGCTTTGATTATAAACTGCTTACAATATGTACATTTGAGTGCAAGTGAAAAATAAGGCAATCTGTGGTTCAATTCCAAGTGAGCTGTTCTTTCGAATAGGGATGATATGTATCTGAACCTGAGGGGGGCAGATACAGTTGAACAAAACATGAGTAATATTTTCAGTGGCTGGGGCCACATGTGTATGGCAAGCAGTGGAAGTGCCCATTTTTGCCATGGAATCCACCAACTCAAATCTTGCTCTAGAATAGGCCATTCTTAAAAAAATGTGTGAAATTATTGACAGGCATTTTTCAGTAAAGTTAAAAAGTAAACAGTTTTTTATCCTTATGAACCTGTTTCATATTTGCCCCCTTTTCTACTTCGATTTTTTCCCTCAAGAAAATATGGCCACTGTGAGGGAGAAAGATAGAAAGACAGAGAGGCAGAGAGAGGTCTAATTATTTATCATCCATTTGATTTTGTTTGTTGGGTCTGGATGACAATGAAATCTGTCAGTTTAGGAGATTTGGACTGGGCAGTCCTAGCAGTTAATAAACTATGTTTTATTTTATTCCAGAAATCTGTGAATGGAGAAGTTGCTTCTAGTGCTGACTGGATCTTGAATCCCACTGAGCTTGCAAATAAATTTAATTCCAAGACTAAAGCTATTATACTAAATAACCCTCATAATCCCATAGGAAAGGTGAGCTTCCTGTTTTGAAGTTTGCTTCCTACATACATACATACATACACTTTATATATACTTTATATATACTGAATATACTGATCAATATGTTTCTCCTTTTTCATTTTAGGTCTACACAAAAGAAGAGCTCCAGTTAATTGCTGATCTCTGCATTAAGTATGATACACTGTGCATCAGTGATGAAGTGTATGAATGGCTAGTTTATACTGGAAATAAGCATATTAAAATAGGTACTAAAAATTAAAATGGTATACATGGTACATGATGAGAAACCTAAATGCACATTTTAGTTACTGTTTATAAGAAATAGATTTTGCATAAAGAATGTTGCATAGTAATTTCTGAAAAACTATCAGTAAAATATATATATTTAAAAATATAAAACATTTTGAATTTAGCTGTTGAACAACTAAACTATAAACAAACATATATTTTGCTCTTCAGAGTGAGATGGGCAGCATATAAATTTAATGAATGAATGAATAAAGGAATGAATCATTAAATAATTAAATATTTGAGAACATGGCTGTACTCATAGGTAATGCTAAGCCTGTGTACTTTAATCAGGATGTGTTGAACAAGGTATAATGGTCTGATTTACATAAAATAAATCATATTAGGTGGATTTGCATATAATTCTAAATCAAAAACTGTTTATAGTTTAGGGCTATGGATAGGGGCTAGGACAGGGGCTCCTAACCCCCGGTCCGTGGACCAGTACCGGGCTGTGGCAGGCCAGCAACCGATCTACACAAACAAGCAAAGCCCCATCCGCGGGATGCAGCCAACACACAAAACCACACACCCTCTGGTCCGCGGAAAAACCTCTCTCCATGGAACCTGTCCCTGGTGCCCAAAAGGTTGGGGACCTATGGTCTAGGACAACTTGCCATGGCTGACTCGCCATGACCAATTTGCTGTGGGACAACTCACTGCAGGACAATTCAACACAGGATAACTCAAGAGAGGGACAAGTAAATTGCAGCGGGCCTTGTCTTACTTTAGGCTTGAACCTTCTTAAGTTAGAAGTCCTTGAGACCAGCGTAAGCTGCAATTCTGCTTGTCCCTTTCTTGAATTATTCTGTGTTGAATTGTCCTGGGGCAAGTTGTCCCGGAATGAGTTGGCCAGGTGAGTCGGCCTGGGGCGAGTTAGCTGTGGCGAGACTGCCGGGGAGAATCGTCTGGAGCGAGTTGTCCTATTTGCCCCCTCTCCACTTATTTAATTAAATATTGCCTGTTAATTATAACAAATTTTTAAAAAATGCCAAAAGGCAAAAAGGGACACACATTTGGCTTCAGAAAATGATGTTGAAGTTGAAGATATTAAGTATTTGACTTAAAGTCTAAATCCTATAATTCAACAAAATGTTGTTGTTACTATATATGTAAATGTTACATTAACTCAATGAAAGCTGAGTTGAACTCATGGGGATGATTACATGCATACATCAACGTGGTTTTCTTTGCAGATATGCTGAAAGGTCTTTTGTCAAATTGCCTTCTTCAAGGGTTTCCCAATCCAACTTACAGCTCTTTGGTGGTCTCTTTTGCAGGTAGTAATCAGATCTGACCCTGTGTAGCTTCCAAGCCAAAACTCATCCAAGCATTATTTGATATATTCAAATTGTGCTGATGAATTACTGTTTGGCTTATCCAAAGGTAACTGAATATTTTAAGTCCTAATTTTCTTCCTGCTGGCAGAGCCCCAAAGCATATAGTTGCAAAATGATTATTGGATGACATTCTGCTCCATATAGTGATTTACTCTTAGTACTTTAAACTCCATAAGTTCTAATTAGACACACATTCACCCAGTAGGTGGGATGAAGTGATTTGCAAGGTTTGATTCATTTGATATTAGAAAAGGAGGTGTCTGAAATCCATCTGGTTATTTTTTACAGCATATATTTCAGAGCCTACAGTTTTAGGAGACATTTTTTCATTCTACTTTGGATGAATTTTTTTTTTCTTTCCATCTTTTTTTCCAGGCAGTGGAGGTGTAGGTAGACCTTGGACGCACTTAACCTGTTTTGTGTCTGAGCCATTCAAGCTTCATTATTTTCATCCACTTTGGATGTTTCCACAAAAAGGATTCTTTGTCCCATCAGTCAAAAGATTTTGTGCAGCCACTCCATCTTTTCTCCTTAGCTGCTTTTTAATGAAAAAAAAAAAGAAGAAGAAGAGAAGAAACAGTGGCAGGGAAACATGAGAGTTACAAAAAGAAAACCCGACTGACTGTATTGCTGCAAAACGAAACCATATATTCATTGAAATGTCTATAAAAGCATTCGCGCCGTAAAAGCCGAATCTCTGAATGCTAAATTATTTTCATAAAATAATAAGAGTTGGAAGGAGAAGTTTGAAGCTTAACCTTTTGTTCAGGGCCAGAACATTTCTGGAAGGTAGCTACTGTATATGCCTTAATTTAAATGCATCCAACAATGGGGGAGCTTGTCCCTTCCTTCCTTAATTGGTTATTTTTGTTTTCTGCAATCCATAATAGTTTGGTATTTATTATGTGCTGTAAATCATTAATGAAATTTTATATTTACATGGGAATTGAAAACTGCTTTTTGACAAAAGTAATTGAATATTTTCATTGGTATTACTACCATTAACTATTCAATTAAATTCATATGCTGCCAGTGACTTTGGGAGGTTTACAAATAGTTAAAAACATAAAAACCAAGAAAAAACATTGCAAAACAAAGATGGCTGAAATAAGAAACCCAGATGGGAACAAATGAAAAGACAACCAGAGAACTTCAATCATATTTGCCAAAGGCCTAAGCAAAGAGGTCAAATCAGCAAATACTGTTTCATTACATTATTTTATAAGATATTATGTAAAGAATGTCATATTCTTTATGTAAATTTATTTTTCTATGTTCTGTGAAGTGTGTGTGTGTGTATTGTACAGTATAATCTCAGAAGGCATTTTTATTGCACCGCATAGAATGTATAGAAAACTTATAAAATATTTGAGGTGAAGTTGTTGTTAATGTACACCTCTTTCTTCTTGGTTAGTTTTAAGCAAACCCCATGGAACAGTTTCAGATCATAAAAACTAGGTATAAAAGATAGCTATGTTTATAAACTGAGCAAACTATTCCTCCCTTTTTTTTTCTAGAAAGCTATCTTTCTTTAGCTTATTTATTTTGGTACATGAAGTTATACAAGGAAGAGAACATAAATCCTCCCTCTAGAGACAGAGTTGTTATATTAAGTTTCATATGTTCCATCAGTTGAAGTGACACATATATCATGAAAGTACAAAATGAATATTGCATCAATTTACAGCACCAGGTTGTGTTTCTCCAATACCTCCTTAATAGAGGCTGTGAGTGATAGTTCATGGAATCAGTATACTCTTTGTGTTGTCATCAAGATAGTTTCCTCTAGGGTAGAATACTAAATCATTTTTCTTATCTGCCTTCTGCAAAATGGAAGTTGTGCTGACAAACTTAATGCATACTGTAAACGAGGATTCTCCTGGCAGCTCCATAGGGATAGTGCTGATCTGAATCTGTATGTTGTCTTACTGATATTAGTTTTGAATCTGATTGGATATGAAAATGCATTCAGTCTGTTGCCTCATATAACAAATGTGCCGTGATAACCTTCATATTTAAATCTACTGCTAAAATAGAATAGCCAGCTTTGGGGCCAACTTCCCTAACACATGGCAAGCTATGTGGGGGCGTCCCAATACATTCCAATACACCCGCAATAGCTAGCCAACTCATATCTGGAGAATGGCAATTTAAGACTAATTTAATTCAGTGCTAATTTGTATGATAGAAAGGTTTTATTATGCATATCCTTGTGAACTTTGGAAAAATCATTTTACCTTGTCAGATATTTTCTTCCAGTTCATTAATTACAGCTCTGAATTTATTTTATTGATCCATAAATAAAATTATTTCAACCCGTCTTCGTGCTGTCATTTTAATGGATATCTGTTTGTAAAGTGAAATTTGGTATCTCTGCAGAATGTAATTGCTAACACTGCCCTGAATAGTGACCGTGTACCAGCAGGGCAAAATAAAAATTTTAATAAATAAAATATCAATTAACTTGTTTTAATATGAACAGCTACTTTGCCTGGAATGTGGGAGAGAACCATAACAATAGGAAGTGCTGGGAAAACATACAGCGTAACTGGCTGGAAGGTAATGGATTTAGTTAGAAATTGTTTCCATGAAAAGTCATATATTGAGATAGTGTTGAATTAGAATATTGACACTAGTGAATGTAAACCAATATTTGCAAATTATATAAACCCAAAGACATTTTTAAAAAATTAAAGGCTGGAAAGAACTGAACTTAAGAGATTTTTAGTATCAACCTTAAATAGTAATATATGCCCAGCTGTATACTTCATATGACAGTTCTAATTTGAATGTAAAGATGGGTATTACTGAATGAAGAACTAAATCTAATTCCAGACCATGCTCCTGCATGGCATTTTGATCTTTTCTTCTTCACAGCCCTGTCAAAAATATACTGATGACATTTGGGACACTACCATAACAGTGAAATACATCATGAAAGGTTGCATTCAGAAATGAAAACTGAAGAAATCCCACATATAAATCCCATATGTATACAAATAAACTTTTAAGATCTCTATTATGGGCATGGCCATAGGGGAATTTTAATATGTCAACATTTACAGCTACTGTGGAAATTATAAAAAGATAAATGCTGTATGTATATGTATTTTTTGAGATCATTACATATGTCGCTTGTTTATAAAATAGATGTTTAATTCTAGATAGTGTAGTTTTCCTTTTTCTTGGTGTTTTTTTTTAAAGTATCTTTTTAAATAAAGAGTTAACTGCAGAATCTCTGATTCTACTGTCTTCTGCTACCCAATAATAACTTCCTAAAAGATTTAGGGAGAAAATTTTTCATCAGTTGGAAAGCAAATTCTTCTCTAAGTATATCAGTTGCCTATCAATGACTGATGGGGTTTGTGTGGGGAAATAAATGTTTTTTTGTGTATTATAACTTATGCGAATTTATCTGCAAAACGTATAGTATATACATCATGACATAGATGAAAGAAGCAAACTCCTGAATGCTTCCTAGCATTTGTTGTTTTTTTAAAAGTAAATAAACAGTGAACAAATAATTCACATTTTATCTTTCATTTCAGCTCGGTTGGTCTATCGGTCCCTCACATCTGATAAAGCACTTGCAGGTGGTTCAACAAAACACCATTTATACATGCCCAACCCCGTTACAAGTAAGTACAAAAGCATACAAAGGAAATTATGTTTTTATAAAGCACCTTGTACCATTTGAGAAGTCAGAAGTATGGAAAGGATTTAAAATTGATTAGAAAGAAATGTTAGGGATACAAATTGAAACTGGATTATCTGATTTTTTTTTCATATAAACGATGCTGTGTTTCAGTGGTTAGATGGCCTAGACTAGAGACATTGGTATTTGAATATAGATCTTTTTAACATTTGTGTTTTATTGCAATTTATTAATCTAGGTGAAATATTAATGCATATTGCAAATCCATATAGGATACATCATAGCTAAATCATAATAGTAGGTGGGTTCTTTAATGAATAGGCCCAATGTGAATCAGCATTGGAACAAATAACCATTTCTCTGTTATCTGAGAAAATGAAAATCTGCTCCATTTCAGTTTTCATTTGTTGAGAAATGAAGGCTGAAATGGAACAGAGTATCATTTTACAAGACTTTGCTAACCTGAAATTTATCCAGTAGTTTTAGAGACAATTATATCCAGTAGTCTTATAGACAATTTTAAACTTATCCAGTAGTTTTAGAGACAATTTTAACTTGCCAAAGCGTCCCCTATATACAGTACAACCTTTAAGTTAAGAGTGTAGTGTTCTGTATATTTGCGGTTAGATTTAAGCTTTATAAATATTTGGGACACTTCTTTTTTGCCAGGAAGAAGAGAGGAATGTGAATAGATATCTAGATTTTATTCATAATTAAAAATTATGAAAGTTTTTTTTAGATCCCGTCATACTTTTATATTATCCTAAAACCATAATCCTGGTTAAACAATTTGGAATACTATTGACAAAAGTTGAACACAGATACAAGTTGAATTAATTAAAATAATGAGGCTGAAGATTGAAAGAAAACAAGTGTACAGACAAATGTAGCCCAATGATAGAAGAATGTGCATTGTGTTTCTTGTTAATGGAATATGTATTTTGTTGGGCTCTCTTAGTGAAAAACAATTACAATTTTGAGCTTTAAAGATAACATTTTAAATATTAAACCTATATCTCATAGGCATCTTCTGTTTATGTTGATTATTTCAACTTTTTCTTAACGGGTTTGGCTTTTCAGGAGGCTGTGGCCCAAAGCTTTTTGCTAGATTACAAACGCATGGATGATCCGGAATGCTATTTCTACTCCTTGCCTAGAGAGCTGGAAAGTAAACGGAACCGAATGGCTCAGATGCTTCTGGAAATTGGATTAAAGCCTATTATTCCAGAGGGAGGATATTTTATGATTGTTGATGTGTCCACACTAGGTTAGTGACGTGCTTAATTTATGGCACAGGGAGGAGATTATTTTCACCAGAATTGAAGCTGCATTAGAAAGGTATCAGGAGAAAGAAATCTATGCAGGTAGTCCTCAACTTATGACCACAACTGAGCCCAAAATTTCTGTTGCTAAGCAAGGCAGTTAACTGAGTTTTGTCCCATTTGCCACAGCTGTTAAGTGAATCATGCGGTCATTAAGTGAATCTGGGTTCCCCCATTGACTTTGCTTGTCAGAGGCCAGCTGGGAAGGTTGCAAATGGTGATCATGGGACAATGCAACTGACATAGATACATGCCAGTTGCCAAGTGCTTGAATTCTGATGACATGACCACTGGAGAGCTGAAACAGTCATTAAGTCTGAAAAATGGTTATAAGTCACTTTTTTTCAGTGTTGTTCTAACTTTGAACGGTCACTAAACGAACGGTTGTAAGTTGAGGATTACCTGTAATGAAGGTATCTGAGTTCTGTGGTCAGAGGTTTGGAACAGTAAGTGAGAAAATATTCAGATTGATAGCTTCATGGTTTAAAAACATTTAAGTGTTCTGCAGATGTTTGCTTAATGTTTATTCATCAAACAAAAAAATTACAAATTTGAACAGGCAAAATGAAAATTTTAAATGTGAGAGGTGCAGAGGTCCCCAGCCTTTTGGGCATCACGGACCGGTTCTGTGGAGAGAGGTTTTTCCGCGGACCGGAGGGGACGTGGTTTTGGGTGCTGCCTACATCCCGCAGATGGGGCTCTGCTTGTTTGTGCGGACTGGTTGCTGGCATGCCGCGGCCCGGTACTGATCCACAGACTGGAGGTTGGGGACCCCTGCACTACTGCACTTATGCATGGCCCCTTAAGGCCCTCTTAATGGGGTGAGGTCCACAGAAGTTAAGTTGGAGTTAAAACTTTGAAAGTTAGTAACTGTGACAAATGAATCAGGTAAAATGTTCAAACTTTGACAACTCTTATTACAAAATGTGCACCATGATGCTCATGAGTGTCAGGTCACTAGTTTCTGATTTGTAGGGTGGTCCTCAAAATATTTCAGTGACTATGTACTAGTCTGCATAAAAGGAAAAATTGGGAATCTGCTAAATTAGTATGTTATTTATTTTATTTTATTTAGGTATAGATCTATCTGACATGGAAAAAGAGAAACCCTATGATTATAAACTTGTGAAATGGATGATGAAATCTAAGGTAGGCTCCGATTTCTTTTTCCTTCCTATTTCAATTATTCAACTACAATATTTTAAATAGAATTGAAATGGGTAATCCTGATATAGAGGTGCAGTGGAAAGTTAGATGTCCATATATCTCCAGTTGTGGACCTTGGTGCTTAACATAGGAAAGCTCTTCCTTATCAGAAGCAAAAATTGAAACAAAATGCAACATCCAAAAAATGTAAAGAGTTTCCACATATTAAATCCTTTTTAATGTACCGTAAGCTTGTAATTCTGTTTTGTTTTTTCAGAAACTGTCAGCTATTCCTCTGACTCCATTTTGTGGCCCAAAAACCAAAAGTCAATTCGAAAAATATATACGCTTTTGCTTCATCAAAGTAAGTTCTACAGTCTACTGATCTTACAGAATTTCCTTTTTTTCTTTTTTAATATAACCATGTAAAGATTTTTAAATACTGCTACTATTCATTTCCAGATCATATTTATGACATTCACATTGTGTTTTTTGTACGCCCAAAAATGCTGCTTAGAAACAAAATGCTGTTTTGATTCTAAAGTATTCATTTAAATATGGAAGACTTTTCAGGAATACAGTATTGAATAAGGTCATTTTCTTTCTGGTAAATTTCTATTTTTCATGATTCCATTTGAGAATGTGCGTATTGCTGCTGACTCCTAGGCTAGCAGCTAGATGATTGACAACCATTTATTTATCAAGAGTAAACTGAATTCCTGGTTTGTTATAAAGGTGACATTCACTCTACTGCAGACGTGTCAAACACAAGGCCCGTCTGTCAGACTTGTCTTCCCTGTCCTAGCTATGGCGGCTGCAGGCAAGCAAAGACAGATGGTGGGGCCGTGGTGAGGGAGCCCGGCCGCTCGCTGTCACGCCGCAGCCCCTGTGTACTCGGCCCCCACCGTCCAATCTTGTCTTCCAGCGAGCACTCCAGGAGCTCAAGGGCTGGGTACCCCCCACCCAGGGGTCTGGGCAGCCTGCACAGACATCCAGGGCCCCCGCATGAAGCCCAAGAGGGTTGGCGAGACTCCTCTGGTGGATCAGTCACTGGTGCCTGTCCTGGTTCCCGACCCTCTCTGCCAGAGACCCCTGGATCCCCCCAGCCTCGCCCACACCCTCATAGGCACCCCCCCCCGACATGAGTGACATCGAGCCAGCCATGCTCACCCCAGCCATGCCTACCCTAGCCACGACCGCTCACCTGGCCATGCCCACCCAGGCCACGCTTTCCCAGCCCGAGGGCAACGACAGTGCTGATGCGGCCCTCAATAAAATCAAGTTTGACACCCCTGCTGTACTGTAATCAAATCACTTTCTCTCTCTCTCTCTGCTCTTTAATATCACATACCATGACTGAACCTTGATTTTAACTTTCATGGCATTCTTTCTTGGCAGAAAGACAGCACACTAGATGCAGCAGAAATGATTCTGAAGAATTGGAAGAAACAATGACCTAGAAATAAACAGCTTCCATCATCCAAAAGAAGAAGAAGAAAAAAAAAACAAACGATTTTTTAAAAAAGATTACAATATACTGCCATCTGCTGGATATTTAGCATTAATAATTAATAACATACCTACCGGTAGTATTTCTGCCTCCTTTTTTGTCCTCAACAACAATCCAGTGTGGTGGATTGGGTTGAGAGAGGATGACTGGCTCAAAGTCACCCAACTGGATTTCCTGCCTAAGGAGGTACTAGAACTCACAGTCTCCTGACTTGTAGGTCAGCATCTTCACCATCACACCAAATTGGCTGTCTATGAAAAACAGCATTATTATCTAGCTGGGTCAGTTTGGTTCCTAATGCTTAGCTTTTTTCCCATGACAGAGTGACTTCCCAGTTAGCCTTCAAGAGAATATGGAGAAGCAGATTGCTCAGGAGTCCCATCAAAAGCATTTGCCAATGCCAGCACAGAATCACATAGACTAAGTACAATGTGGGGAACCGTATGCCAGTTCCCAGAGAACAGAGCGAGGGGAGGTGTAATCCCCATTATAGAAAGTTATCGCTCAGTGTATAGGTTCCCCCCTCCTTTTGCTTGATTATCCCATCCTTTATCTGCTGAGCAACTAGTTGCCTAATTTAGATAGCACATCTGTCCTTGTGTATTTGTACTTGGAAGTTATTTCCCATGTGCTCTTTCAAAATGCATGGGACTGCATATCTTCAGAACAATCATATGCATATTTACACAGAAGTTAGTTGAATGTAGCTTACTTTCAGATGCATTAACCTGTACCATGTAACTGTATGCATTTCTTCTGCCACGCACCTCACTAAGATCAGTTGTACATGCTGAGCTAATTTTGTCACAAAATGGCCAAAATAAATAAATAAATAAAATCACAAGGTCAACAAGATAAATCTTGCATAAGTGTTCACACGTGTGTGAGAGCCAATTTGGTCTAGTGCTTAATGCACTGGGCTTAGAAAGCAGGAGACTGAATTCAAGTCCCATCTTAGGTATGAAAGCCAGCTGGGTGACTTTGGCCAGTCAACTCTCTCACCTCAATTGACCTCACAGGGCAGTTATTGTGGGAAAAATTTACAGAATGGGAGCAGGTGGGTTTCTTTACCCAGAATAGCCATCCCATTGTATGGATACAATGGATACATAAATGAGAGTAGCAAGGAGAATGAGTATTGACTTCAGTTTCACCCATGGAAGGTGTAATGGAATAGCGTGTCAAATAAAATCTTGTCTATGTATGATACACATGCTCAAGTCCTAAATATTATTTCTGTGAGTTCTTGTCCTGTCCCAGGCACAAGCCATCTGGGTTACTTTGGGACAGTCATTCTTTCACAGGTCTAGGAGAGAGTTTTCTTAGCATGATTTTGAAATCATGCTAAAAAAACCCCTGCAGGCTTGTCCAGGCAATTGTCAGGAGTCAAAAAACTGTCCCGTCATCATGGACACACGCTATGCATACATACACATACATATAGAATACTCTGCAAGGAAATTTATGATAGTAGATAAATTGAACTGGAATCTTTCCACTCCCGTCTCCCAAGATGCTCTTGCTTTTTTATTGCTTGGGTTTAACCAGTAAAATGAACACCACCCAAACGCTGCGGTCCTATTATCCTGTGCAACGCACAAGTAAACGCCATCAGTATTATCCGGAGGTACAATTTACAACTATGCAACATCTTTGCTGGAATTTAAATCCCACCAGGCTAAATCAACCCCACTTCCTAGCAAATATGGTTTAAGACCTCCTCCTCCTTCAAAACAGACCTGGGAACGGCACCGCCTCTCCTCTTCCCGCGGAAGCAAGAAAAGCGCGTTCCTTTGCTTTTTGACTTTTTCGGCTTTCCGTCGACTAGGCCTGGGCGAGTTCCGCCCACCGGAGCTTTGGCTTAAATAGGAAACCAGTCCGTCTGCCCGCAGGAGTCGGTGCGGAGGAAGCAAGATGGCGTCCACGAGCCGGTCAGTCGGGGGGAAGGTGCCTCCGGTGGGAGGCTCTGTGTGGTTCGGGAGCCTCGACGTCGGGTTTTAAAGGGAGGGCCGGTGCTGGCCGGGAGAACGAAGCGTATCCGGGGAGACCGAGAGCAGCCGTGGCTGGAGCTCCTCTTAGGCCTCGGCCGCCCTTGACTTGCTGAGCTTCTAGCGAGCATCTTCCCTTTATGGCCTTTCTAGCGACTTCTCGCTCCGTGGCTCGTCTTTTCTCGCCTTCTGCTCCCTTCCCCGCATTTTGCTCTCCCCTTTCTAGGCGCTTTGAGTCCCCAACCTCAATAGGCACCCCCCGTTTTCCAGCCTTTTTCGCACCCCCCCTTGCTGAGGCGCTTCCTTCGCATTAACCACCAACGTCGTCGGAGCTGAATCGGTCGTCGCACCGACGGAGCAGAAAGGAATATCAAAATCTTTTTTGTTGTTGTTAAAGTAATCGCCACTCCTATCACCTTCCATTTTGCGGCATCACGATCCGCTTATGCGATAAATGGACCTGCATGACTTCCCTGAATAAAGTTAATGAATGCGTTAGGGATGTGGCGAGGGAATATGTCTGCCGGTTTTTTTTAATGAGGGAATGTTTATTGCAATTAATTCACGTATTTAGCATTTTAGGGTGACCCAACTGTCCAATTTGTGTGGGAAAGCCCTTTCTCTCGCAACAAAACTCAGTCCAGTTTTTCCTGGGTAAACAGTTTTTTTTTCCTCAGAAGCCTATTTTGTACAAATTAAGTAGGGAGCAAATCTGGAGTTTTGCCAGTGGCTCATTTGGTTGTGTAAGCCCAGTCCGGTTTAGAGAAAAGGGCCTCCCTTCTCAGGTGTTCGTGAGGAACATAACCCATAGTTTGAGAAACCTCTAATCAGTGTTTCTTAAACTGGTTGTATTATGTCTGGGGATGCCCCCAGGAATCCATTAGGAGCCACCGAAATCAAAATTATTTGCCAACCCTTCTAGAAAAATAGCACAATATTAAAATACCATCAAACAGTTGTTAGTGACAATGAATGCATCACATTTAATTTTTAATATAGTAAATATTAATAAATAGGACCAATATAAGTAAAGGCTCTTCGGTGGTCCTTCATACTTTTTAAAAGTGGGAAGGGGTCCTGAGAGAAAAAAAGTTTAAGAAATGCAGCCCTGAATTATTATATGAACAATTTTCTCTGATATCTGTAAAAATTAATGCCAGAAGAAATTATTCTCTAAAACAGTAGGAGGCTTACTTTAAACATCTGCAGATATAATATAAATTTTATTTTATTGCCATTGCCAGTGTTGCTTTTATATGTAGAAAAATGTTTTATGGTATAAATTTGCCAATGCATCACAGGAATATTTGGCTTTGGATTATTAATTGTGAGTCTTAGCCAGCTTTATGTTCTTTAACTGTACTGTATAGTATGTTGGGTTTTCCAATTAAGAATATTTAATAGGTAAATAAAAGCTAATTAGTTCTTGTCCCATCTTTGTTCTAGTCCTATCTTAGCCATGAAAGCTGTCTGGGTGTCTTTGGGCCAATCACTTTTCCTCAGCCCAGCCCAGTCCACAAGCTTGTTTTTGTGGGGAAAATAGGAGGAGGAAGAATATTATGTGTATTCACTGCCTTGAGTTCTTTACAAAAACAAAGTTGAGATAAAAGAAAATTTCATTTTCTAAAAATATCAGCTCCACCTAATAATTGCTAGCCTTTGTTTTGAGTTACTGGTTGTATCTAAAATCTAGGAAATAAAATCATAGGATCTGAAGGAGTGAAAGTTTTTGTTTTTACTTGGATGGAAAAAGACAGTTATTAAGCAGCAGTTTTAGAAGTATCTGCTCCTGTATTGTATTGTTCTGTTTGGTTTTCATTAATTAATAATAAATGTATAGAGTTGTTGAGAAAATTTGGTACAAGAAGAAGAAACTTTGTTGATCAATACTTTTATATTCTTTTAAACAGAAGAGTGATAGCTTAATAATAAGAATTGCCAAAAACACCCTGTCATCACTGCTATCTCTTGCTAGTGCTCTGAAAAAATCCTAGCAGTCAAATGTCAATAGTTCTTGAAGTATATGCACTAATAGATTAATTCTTTTTATATAAAGATGTTCTGTTTTCCTAAATTAACTACTGTATTTCTAAAGCAGTAACAGTGAACATTTAATACTGCTTAAAGACTACCCAGGTATAAAAAGAGAAGATTAAAACTGGTAGCAAGGAAATGTATAGCAACAAAACTAAGGTTCACAACAGTCTTTACTAGCAAAAGACACAGGTAAGGAGAACTATTGAATTTAATTAAAGGAATATTTCTGAGTAATGGAACAGTAATGAAGAGGTTCCGTCTCTCATATTTGTCTACTAAATATGTCTTATGAGCAAAGCTCAGATTTACCTTCAGGCATGGTAACATTGAAGCAAATGGTTCTTAATGCAGTGTGGTCCATTTAAATGTTTTAAATTCAGACTGGCAATAAATATAAAGCTAGTATACAGGACATAAGCTGACATATAAAATTTGATTTATATTCCTCAGTGTTTTACAGTCCAGTGGTCTCCAGATGAGAGGGGAAAACAGCTGCTTGCATTAGAATTGATTAAACCAATTAAAAAATTTGGCTTGCATGGTATATTTCATTGGAATAGATGAGATGTTAGGGCCATAGTCACAAAATTGTTGGGTTCCTTTCCACGTACATTCATGAGTATGCATTACTGTTTGTAATTTCAAACCTTTTATAGGAGATGTATGTTTTCCAAGCTGACACAACTTTGGGGTTGTGATTGAAGTTTAAATTAAATTTTAAGAGTTAGGCTCACTAGGATCAGGAGAAAAATGTTTTAATAAATGGTCATATAAAAAAAGTTAAAATATTGCAGAGATATTTGCCATCCAAGGGAGGAATCAATTAAGAATATAGTATATTCGTTGAAGAACACTATGATTTATCTTCAAAATGTTTCCAGGGAGCTCCTTTTTAAGAGTATTGATAGTTTTGTGGTTACTTCTAATTCTGGTTTTTTTGTCAAGCACATTTGAATTTCACATCTATAAAATTCATCCTTAGGCAACAGACTAGATGCTGTTTTTTCTTAGTATCATGGCCATGAAGTTGGTAGTCTGAGCAATTTACTTAGATCAGTAATGTGAAACAGATCATTTTGTGTGTGCTATTCACTTACTAATTTATTCTTGCTGATGATAGCTCCAAAAGCCAGTCCCCTTTTCCTTCCAAGAGATTAAATTGGGTTTATTTTGGGCTTTATTTATTTGCACTATTTCCCAGATGCACACAACAATAGTAGAATTAAAAGTACATTTTTTTCTATCATTAGTCTGTTAGTATTCTTAACTCAGTTTTTGAATATTATTTTATTTCCAGATTCTTAGTATTGTGGTTGGCATATATGCAGAGAGGAAAACATGTTTTTGAATTCAGATACCAATAAAGTTAACCAAAAATACATATTGAATGTCTTTTCTTTGATATGATTTTAGTAGGATGAATAAAAGCATATATTTTTTTAAAAAAACAAAGCAATCTGAAGTTGGCATTGTAGTAGGGGAGCCTACTAGTAGGGGAGCCAGGATACCTTTTAATGTATTGGTAATATTTCAGCTTGCAGCTGGATTCTGCTTGTTTTAGATTTTCTTAAGGGCAAGATTAAAGGAGAGAAATTGGGCACTATGAATGAATATGCAATTTATGAATAAGTTTGAACCTTCCAGAATTCTGGCTACTTATTACATGCAAGAGTAGCTAATACTGTGTTCATATTGTTTATCTCATGGGCACACAAATATTAAATTTTAGAACCATTAACAGATATTACAGAATATCTTTAGCCAAAATCATTGTTACAACATACCACATTCAAGTAAAACAGGTGTCAAACTGCTGGCCCATGGGCCGGATGCATCATGGTGAAACCACGCCCACCTCATTGCTGACAGTGGAAAAAAAGTCATGACATGTCACGTCACGTTGCACATTTGACACCCCTGAAGTAGAATAACTCTTGTATTAAAGTGAAGTGATCTGATTTCCATTTTACTTATATAAGGTACAGCTTACTAGGTAGGTAACAAACATAAGATGAGATATGTTTAAGGTGCTTCTTTTAAATAATCATTGTACTCCTGTTAATTGAATTAAACGCAGCTGGTTTTGTAAATATAATGCTGCATGTAGGATTATTTTAAGATTGTTGATGGTAGTTCTGTAGAGAAGTGCTAGTGATCCTCGACTTATGACCACAATTTGATCATAATTTGACCATGCTAACTGATGTGGTTAAGTGAATCATGTCTTTATGTGAATCTAGCTTCCCCCATTAACTTTGCTTATCAGAGAAGGTTGTAAATGACAATTATGAGACCTTGGACTTTGTTACTGTTGTAAATACATGCTGGTTGGGAGACACCTAATTTTTGATCACATGACCATGGGGATGCAACAGTTGTAAATGCAAGGACTAGTTGTAAATTACTTTTTTTCAGTACCACTGTAAATTTGAACTGTTGTTAAACAAATGGCTGTTATAGTTCCAACATATGAAACTCTTCAAAGAATTTCGAGGCACTGATTACCTTAAAGAATCTTTATTCAAGCAGCAACAGGTGGGCACTTATATAGTCCAAGCCAAAATCTGACTTCTCCTCCCTCAGCATATAGATCAAAGCACAATTCCCTCCTACAACTAACAGTCATAAATCACATTCTCCAATTAGTTTGAAATGCTGGCTTTCCCCCAGTTCTTTATCCAGGATGCCTTATCAGCTCTTATTACAATATTGTTATGTCTAACTAACTCCTATCACATTCTTCTCCCTCCCCTCAGCACATCTAATTCTAAGAATAAGAAAGAAAAAAAAGGCTGCATCTCCATATATTGTCAAAGCAAGAACATCCAATGTTAGCAGTCTTGACAATGGCCTTAAGTCAAGGACCACCTATAATTGCAGAAATGGCTGTTGAGTGAAAGAAAAACCAGGAATTTAATAGGGCATACACTTTGGATATTTATTTGTATGATAAACTCATATTCTTGAATGGTGCTTGCGCTTCCAATACTATTATATAGAAAATGGAGTATTTTTTTTTAAATAATCAACAAGCAACTTCTTATTAGTTTAATTAGTTTAGCTATATATGAATCTCTAATTTTGCATTATTTCTATTTCCCATTCAGGGCTATATGTGACTTTTAGTTAAATTAGTTATTTCATATGCTATTTTTAAAGAACTACATAAACCATCTTCATTTATGTAGCTCCATAGTATTGAACAAGATCGTCCATCCTTTCCCTGCCCTTCTTCCCATTTTGGTAGTGGCAACTGCTGGATGGCGACGGTAGTCTGACATATCTGAAAAAAACCACCTGGGAAATGCTGGTTTATATAATACTGTAACAAATGATGTCAGTCGTAGTTGTGAATTTCATTTAAAATGAATTTTCCGAAAGCACTAGAAATGAATGATTCAAAAATTAAATAAATCATGTGCTATTTACTGTAAATTGTCACATAAAATTGATTTTTATATTTTTTAAAGCTTGGACGTTCTGCCTAGAGTGACATGTCCAAACCACCCAGATTCTACTTTAGTAGAAGATTATAGAGCTGGAGACATGATTTGTCCAGAATGTGGACTCGTCGTAGGTGAGTAATTATAAATTATATATTTAATTCTTTTGTTTTTCATATTCTTGATGTTTCATAATTTTCTCAAAAGTCTAAAATCATTGTATATTTATTACTAATCACTGCACTTTTCAAACAGTTCTGAATAAGTTTTCACATTCAGTAATTAATAGATGAATAGTCTGCAAATGTTTATACAGGTGATTTGTGTTACTGAGTTAAGTACTCAAAGCATCACTGAAAGAGCAGCTTTTAAAATTTTGTTCTTTTCTGTCATTACTGTCTCTTGCATTAAATTGCTTGAGAACTTGCTAATTGGTGGCAACAAAAACATACATTTAAGCCTTACCTTTAATATAAATCTTACAGGATTTGTATCTACATTTTAGCTTTTTTTTCTCCTTGCAGGACAGAAAAACAGTTGTAGATTGATCTCAGTTATAGATTTTTCTTATAGTCCTGAGCAACTTGTCTGGGTTGCTCAGAACTTTACTGAGTTGCTGAGAGCTATAAGTTCGTATGATGGCATTTAACACTGAAACTATCTTTGACACTGATTTGTAATTCTAATACGGCTATAAGGCTCTAAATCACAATTAAGTTTTCAATGTAAATCAGTGCTTTCTCAACTACACTGGTTTCTAGCCAGCTTTGCAGACAAGCCAAAGAGGTAGTTTTAAACTTTGAACCCTTGGTGCTATCAAGATTATCAGAAGGTTTTCTTTTGCCTATAGTTGTATTTGTGATCATTTCACTAAATCAGCAATTCAATTCGAAACTGCTGCAAGGAGGGTCTTTTTAATGATAACTTGCAGATGTTTGCAAAGGCCACAGTTCCCTTCTTTTCTGGGATGCCTTCAATTATTTCTGGAATATTTAGTTATAGAAAAATACTGAACCCTTGAATGTCCTTCTTGTCTAAAGAATTCCATTCCTGAAATATTAATTGTCTACATTTGTAGTAGCAGTTCAGTTGTAGAATTCCTTCTTTAGGAAGGATTGTTACCTACTGTGTATTCTTGTTGATGCCAGATGAATTCTCCCCTTTGTAAGGATTTTCTAGGATTTAAGTGATTGAAACAGAATGAATTTGGAATTTTTAGGGACTTGGGGGGGGGGGTCTAGCTTGACTCTTTGCTTCTGCATTTTATTGTTTGATCTCTGCAGTGTGTCATATTATGTTGTGATTTTGTTTTTTATTGTATAATAGGTTAAATAGATAGTGTTTTGTTTGTTCACAATTTAGAGACAAGCTCAGATTGATTATAAACTTCTGGAGAAGTAAATAATATCTGACAGTAACACCTTAGTAGCTAATGGGTTAAAATGGTTGTATATAGTGTAGATCAGGGGTCCTCAACTCCCGGTCTGTGGCCTGATGCCGGGCTGCAGCTCATTCAGAACTGGGTTGCGAAAGTGGTGGGCGAGCATGCGTGAAGCTGTATTTGTGAAACTGGCGCATGCACAAAACCATCCCCTCTGCTGCCCCACATTGCCACTTCCGCCTCTGCTGGTCCACCTAGCCAGAAAGATTGAAGACCGCTGGTGTAGCTGGTTTCTAAAATGCATGTTTAAATGGAGGCTTTACAAATGTAAATTGAACTCTTAGGGGATATTGTATAAAATGAATGTAATAGCTTTAATCAAGTAAAATAACTGGTTAGGGAAAACTGATTTAAGCTAAATTACATTGCAAAGCTTCTACAGAGAAATGTAATAAAATTTGTATAATAAAAAGAATAGGTAGGAATAGGGATTTGCAAAAGTTGTAAATCCAGGAATCCTATATATTTCATCTAGAGCAATTCAAACTGCATCCGATTCAGGATTTATTTCTAGAAATTGACAACATGACCCTGAAATGATATGGTTCTGGCAGAGGTTTAGCATGTAGGAGAGAAAAACCTCCCCATAATTCTATAGACTGTTCAATTTTAGATTGATAATTGGATATGGGAGGGTGAAGGATAACAATAGTTTGTTCCACGTATCATTGCAAACAAGGTAATTTAAAAATCTAATAGACATGTTTTCATAAAATGAGAAGTCTGGTTAATTGTGACATTGGTTTTTTAACAAGTATAACCTTGCCAATTCAGTTATGATTCAGTGTACTAGAACCCTCAAAAATACATTAGTAATCAAGTTAAAAACAATTTTTGGAAACTCCTGGCGTACAGGAAAGTGTCAAAAGATTGGAGAAAAGCTGATGTTATTTCAGTCTTTAAAGGGGAAAATGTGGATCTAGGAAACAACAATTACTTTAACATCGGTACCTGAGAAAATCCTAGAAAAGATAAGCTATAGGTTCATTAGAAAGAAACAAGGTGATTGTTTAGATTTGTTAGAAATAAATTGTGCCAGACAAAACATACTGCAAACTTTAACAGACCAAGGGAATCCAGGATCTAGTTTTATACCTTTCTGCCTAGATTTCAGTAAATCATTTGTTAAAGTTGATGGTAGTCTCCTTCTTAGAAAATGGAGCAAAGTAGGATGGATGGCCCCACTAACAGAAAGATTTGCAGTTGGTTGAAGAACAGCACCCAGCACATGGTCCTTAATGATCTACATCTACATGAAGGGAGGCATTTAGGGTACTGACCTGGGGTCTGTGTTCCTCAGCATTTTTATAAATGATTTATATGAGAGGATAGAAGGAATGCTCATCAAATTTGCTAATGACACAAAGCTTGGGGTTTGTTTGGGCTAATATTTCACAAGATAGTCCCAAGATTCAAAAGGATCTTGATAGACTTGAATGTTGGGTTTGACCCAACAAAATGATGTCCAGTGATGAGAAATGTAGGGTGTTGCTCTTAGAGAAACATAAATGCACAGGCACAAGACATTTGGTACCTAGATTGGCAGTTGTACTTGTTGCAGAAGAACAGCCTGCCTCCAGGATGTCTGTCACTGGTGGTTTTCAACAAAAGTTGAACAGCCATTTGTCTGGGATAATATGAGGGGCCCTACCCTAAAGCAGGAGGTTGGATTAAAGCAGTGGTGGCGAACCTATGGCACGCATGCCAGAGGTGGCACTCAGAGCCCTCTCTGTGGCCACGTGCTCCATGCCCCAGAGATGGCAATCATCTCTCTTCAACCAGCCGCCCGCTAACTCACCCAGGTCCCATGTGGCCGGATGCATCGCAGTACGACTGGTTTCCCTCCCCCCGCCCTGCCTTGACTCACCCCACAGGACGAGCCTCCTGCCCACTGCCCACCTGCCAGAGACCCCCTGGATCTCCCCCAACCCTGCCCGGCCCCCACAGGCATCCCTTCCCACAAGCAACATCGAGATGACCTCGCCCACCTTGGCCACACCCACCCAATCTGCCATGACTATCACAGCCACGCCCACCCAGTGGGCCACGCCTACCCGGCACTCACTTGGTGATAAGTAAGTGGGTTTTGGATTGCAGTTTGGGCACTCGGTCTCTAAAAGGTTCGCCATTATTGGATTAAATAATCCAATGGTTCTTACAGTGTACTATTCTGTATTATAGAATCATAGTGAGGCAGAAGGAAAAAGGTCTGTGTTGTCCATTAGCTTTACCCTGCCCTTAGTAGATCTCTTTCTAGGTATTGAGTGCACATTCATAAGCTTCACAGTGGAAAATTTGAGACTCGGATAAATTGCATTTATTTTACATGTGGAAGAAGATCTTAGCAACAGTGTGTATGTATCCTGCACAGCTGAATCTAGTTGTTTTCATATGTCAGCTCCTAGCTTTAATCCTGTGTGCCTTTTTTCCTCCTTATATGATAATTTAACCTTTTGTCATCTATTTTCAAGTTTAGATGTTAAGGGTACCTGCAATATAATATAATGATTGTGTATGGTCCTGCGGTCTAAACTTGTGAATTCAGTGGGTGCAGTTTTCATATACGGTAAATATAGTCCTTACTTACTGACCACAGTTGGGATTGACAACTGTTGATAAGCAGGACAGTGGTTAAGTGACCATGCCGACTTATAACATCAATTCCGGCTGCGATTGTTAAGTAAATCACCGCAGGTCATTAAGTATGACATCATATGACTGACTTGTGACTTCCTGCTGGCTTCTCCATTGATTTTGTTGGCCAGCCGGCTGTGATGGTCACAAATGGCAACCACATGATTCTGGGACACTGACTGTTGCAAACACATGACAGTTGTTAAAGCATCTGAACAGCAATTTCGAGGACTGCAAGTCTCCTTTTTTAATATCATAAGAGTTGCTGAATGAATGGTCAGTCAGCAAGGACTACTTATAGTCCACTATTAGCTCTAGACATTCCTACTCTTAGTGTGCAGCTTCTTCAGATTATCCCAAAATCTTGCAACCATCAACTAAAATATAATATTTTCTGATTTTAGATAGTATGAAAATCAGGTGTTATGAACTGTTTGGCCATAATTGAATGAATATCTTGGTAATGAGTTGAAATTCCAGAAACATTTCTTGTTGAAGATAACATAACAATTTAAAGGAAATACTCTAAAGTTTGATAATTGCTGTGTAAAAAAGACCTATATACATAGACATAATCCTTCTAAAGATACTTAGTCTAGAACCAGACTGGGCTTCCTTTGCTATTGATTTGTTTAAGTAAAAATGCTGCAACTGATGCAAAACCACATTATGGGTCTCGGTCTCCTGACTTTTTAGTATATAGGTAGTTCTTAGTTCAATCATAATTGATCATGGCCATAGATCATGTGGGTCTTTAAGCAGGTCTTTAAGCAGGTTTTATAACCTATTCTGTGGCAGCCATTAAGCGGTTATTAAATGAACATGTCCATTAATTGTGACAGTCATTAATGGAACCCAGTGTACCCACTGGGCATTTTCTTTGCCAGAAACCAGAAGAATGTACATGTGACTGCAGCATGCTGCAAATTGCCTCCAAATTGCAAATTGACAACAGGTCAGTTGTCAAGCACCCAGAATGTGTGTGGCTGTCAGAATCTCAAAACTGGATTGCAAATGGCTCTGGAGAGGAGCGTTATAACTTTAAACAGTTGCTAAACA